CCAGCTGTTGAAGAGGCTGTGATTTCTCCATTGTATATCCATAGCGACAAAGTGTCTTTTTACAATCTATGTTATGGTTGTAATAAAATTGATTTAGCCAATCCTGTATTGACATACAATAGGTTATTTCCTCTGTGTGTTTAAAGTGATAAATTACATTTCCATTGATTTGTCAATTTAGCCAGTTAGATCTTTCCTCTTTTGTGTTAAGCATTGCCTTGATTTAGCCAAACATATTTACAAAATTTATAGTAAGAATTATTTGTTTCTTTTAAAACATGTTTTGCTTGCATTCTGGACTTGATTTCTAATAGCTGCACATAGAGTTACATCAAACTTCGAAGGGAGTAAACTGATGCATAAAATAACAAAAGAAATAAAATATCAGTTCCTCCATATAGTTCTATGTTTTTTTTTTACTTTGGTCCATTTATATTTACTATGACTACTAATATTCTTGCATTATTTCTACCATCTTTTTTTTGTATTTCTTTTTGTTCTACCTTTTTAATGCTTTTTTCCCTCTTCTTTTTCTGGGTTATTTTTTGTTTCCTTAATTGATTTTTTTTCTCATTTCAGATTTTTTTTTCTTGTCGTTTCAGATTTATACACTCTAATTCTCTTATATTTTTATTGGTTATCCTTAACATTTTACTGTACACATTTAACTTAGCAAAAAGCTAAACAATATCTTCATCCTCTTTCAAGTAATACAAAAACATGCAACAGTTTAACTGTTAGAATCCCTCCAGATTAACCAACTAGTGTTGTCAGCATTTTAGTTCTATTTTATGCTCTCATTGAACATTTTTATTATTTTATGCAAGCAATGTTTATTTGTGGTTGTGTAAGTGTTTATCATTCCTTTTGCCCCCCTCTTCCTTCTTGCATCTCAGACCACCCCTCCAGCGTAATTTTCCTGTTTCCTGAAGTACATCCAACTGGAAAACTGTTTTTCTGCTCACAACACTTCTGACACCAAATGCTTGGGTTTCCCAAACCAAGCAATTCTCCAGTTCTCTGTGGACAGTGGCTGGGTGTCTAATAAGTCAATTCAGTTCTGACACTAATGACCTGGAATTAGTGCAGGCCCCACAGTTTAAGGGCTCAGTCCCAGAAGACTGCCCCACCTCAGACAGCAATGGCAAGTAGTGTGGGTCCCAGGTTACTTCTGTCTGGGTTGGCTACAAATCTGGGGTTCCCATGACCCCTTCTCAGGCTTGATAAATCGTTGTACTGTTCACACAATCCAGAGAACACTTTATGACTGATTTGTTATAAAGGTGTAGATGAATACCATATGATTTCACTTACATTGGAATCTAAAAACAAAACAAAAAAAGGAGTGGACCGTAGACACTGAGAAGTGACTGGTGGCTGCCGTGGCAGAGGGCTCGGGGTGGGTGGGTGAAAGCGGTAAAGGGGATAAAGAGGCGCAAAATCTCAATCATAATATAGATCAGTCACAGGGATGAAAGTAGAGCACAGAGAATATAGTCAGTCATTCTGTAATATCTTTATGTTGAACAGTAACTACACTAGTTGGTGTTAGCATGTAACAATGTAGGTAACTGTCCAATCACTATGTTTCTTTTAATATACTTGAAACAAATGTAACACTGTATATCAGCTATACTTCAGCTATACTTCAATCAAAGAATAAAAGGATATTAGAAAGGGTAAAAACGAACAGTCAGGTGAAGTTACCTAGAGTAAGATCCTGAAGGGTCCTGAGTGTAGAAACTTCTGTCCCTATGAAGTTTGGGGTGTGCTCTTCCCCCCAGCAGGTGGATGTGTCTGGAGAGGCCCTTGGAACCCATGTCTTTTAGGATTTTTTTATGCATATTTCATTAAGTAGGCATGATTGACTACATCATTCGTCACTGGCGATGAATCCAGTCTCTTGCCCCTCTCCCTTTCCAGAGTTGGGGGGTGTGGCTTAAAGTTCTAACCCTCCAACCGTGTCTTGGCCCTTCTGGGGACCAGCCCCCATTCCGAAGCTATCTGGGGGCCCCTAGCCACCTAGTTATTTTATCAGTATACCAAAAAAAAACCCTTTCTTCTTAATCTTCTGTTTAAATTCCCCCATTGAGTTGTCTTTTTTTCTGAACAATTACATAAATTACTTTGCTTCCCCCACCCCTCAATCCACCTATTCTTTTGATGCCGGGGTTCTTGTTTGCAGAGCCGAAGAATGAGCTTCACGAACAGTCAAGGTAGGAGAGCAAGGTACAGGCTTGCAAGAGCAAGGTAGAGATAAAGTGAGAGAATAGAGCTCCCTGCTCACGCCAGGAGGGGACAAGAGAGTCGTAGTTGTGCGTTGTCTAGGGGGTTTTATAGGCAGCTGAGGATTTTCCGAGAACATGAAAAAAACTTAGGGGTGTGGACTTGTTAAGTGGTCCCTGAATATTTAGAATTAACTTAACACAAGCAACTTCCTCTGATGATTTCTCGAAGATACCAGCATCTTGGTCTGGGAGCATATGAATCAAGGCCACCTGCTCAGTCCCCCAAGGTGATGAGGTATTGTTTGCTAAAGAGTAAGTTAAGAATTTCATCTTAACATCTTGGGTATTAAAATGCAATCTTATCTTATTGTTTGCTAAAGAGTAAGTTAAGAATTTCTTAACATCTTAACATCTTGGGTATTAAAATGCAATCTTATCTTTAAGGTGGAATCCTTCCTGCCTTTTACTGTGTTGTTTGTGCCTGGGTTTACTTGCTAAATTAGTTGCCCAGTTTGCAAAATCACTTCATCCGATCTGAAGAAGACAGCCCATAGGCCTGGGCCTTTCAGTATTCTAAAGAGAACCCATGATTATAAATGGTTAGCATAATAAAACATGTGCTGCTCTTCTTTATCTGGGGAACATTAACTGATTTCACTGAAGAATGATTCTAGAGCTCAATGTTTAACATAGTTTTAGCACGGGGGTTTCCTTGCATGTAGTTACATTGCTCTGGCTGCAGATATCCTGCCCTGCCCCCTCCAGGGGCCCTCACCCTGCTCTGACGACACCCATGGTTCCTGTCGCACTTTCTCCGTTTTCTTGCTGTTGGCTAATGTCTGAGTATGTGGTAGGCTGCTCCTGCGATGCTTCCGATGATCTCCCACGCCTGCTATTCACTGCCTTTCTTCTTCACAGAACCTGTGACTTGCCTGTAACAACAGAATTTGACAAAAGTAATGGGATAGCACTTCTGACATTAGGGTATAAAGACTGTGACTTCCATCTTTCTGCAATCTCTCTCTGGCCCTCTCTCTTGCTTGCTGTGAAGCAGCCAGTGCCAGATTATGACCAAAGGAGAGGTCTGTGCAACTGAGGGTGACCTCTGCCCAACCACCTGTGAAGAACTGAATCCCACCAACACTTCTATGAGCAAGTGTGGAAGCAGATCTTTCTCTTGTGTACCTTGAGATGATTACAGCCCTAGCTGACATTTTGATTACAGCCTGTGAGACATTCTGAAGCACAGGACTCAGCTAAGCCATCCCTGGGTTCCCGATCTACAGAAACTGTTAAAGAATCAATTGTTTTAAGGCACCAAGTTTTGGATAATTTGTTACGCATCACAAGATAACCTAGATAATATCCTCTGTTTCTCCCACCATTTTGCACGCACGTTGTGGTATGCAATGAACCTGCAAATTCCCGTCCTTGGAGCCCTGGGGGTGGGGATCTACATCTGTTAACTGTTTCTGGGGACTCTCACAGGCCTTGTCTCAGTGCTGGTGGTCCGTGACTGTGAACTCATTACTTCATATTGACCTGAGTCCTGTGGGATTTACTTCTGCTTCTTGCAGATTGCTGCAAATGCTTCCAACTAGCTCAGCTGCCCTGGAAGGGCCCTTGCTTAGTGGGAGAATCAAACTCAGTTTTCTAATTCACAGCTGCCTTCAGGTTCTCGGTAATCACAACCCAGCCCCTTCCTGGTGCAGGCAGTTCAACTCCCAAATCCCTCTTTTTGTTAATTTCTGGTTCTCTGTCTTTTTTGGGGGAGACAGAGAATTCTTGAAGATTACCCCTACTTCCTATGAAGTCAACAGTGCCACAAAGAGTGTCATAACACCTCATCCATCACAATGGCAGATGCTAAAGCCCAAGGTTAAATAGCTAATTGTTTATTTTGCCATTTGTAATACATTAATGGAAATGGTTAAACATCAGTCAAAACAACCATTCACATACTCAGTTTCTCTAAAGAAAAGTTTCCTTATAGGAAACAGTCTTTCTCCAGTTTACTTGTATCTTCTTTATAATTTTATTAAAAATTTACTGACATTAGCATAAAAAGATGGAGCTGCTTTAAAGGAAATTTAAGAGATACCATGTCTAAATATGCTTTTAGTCTTTGGATCCTGATGCAAATAAAGCAATTATTTAAAAAAAAACGTTTTGAGGGAATTGGGAAAATTCGGTTATAGAGTTAGTGTTAGGTGATGCTAAGAAATAAATTCTGGTGGGGGGATAATGGTGAAGCAGTTACATAAGAAAATGTCCAAAATTTTTAGAGGTGGCCTGTCAAACAGAGGTAAGATGATGAGGATTTGCTTAAAAAGGTTTCAACAAAAACTTAAAAAAGGAAAGCCTCAGTTAAACGGGGCAAAACTGTGGCACTGCTGTGTGCAAAGGGCATGCACCCTTTACGGGGATATACATTGCCAAATTGCCTTGAAGCAAGTTGTCCAGTCCCCCTGCCCCGCCTGGCGACATGTGAGCCTGTCCACTTCACGCAAGCCCACCCGCCCTCCCTCACGGACATTATTCTTTCCAGTATTAACGGTAAAATGCTTTATCGGACTTTCTGTTAGCACTTTTTAATTGGTGAAGATGAACAGTTTTCAGATGTTTAGTTTCCATTTTAAGTTCTTTCTGTGTGTGGGAAAAGCCTGTTTATAGGTTCTTTCCCGTCAAAAAAATAAGAAAGTATTTGTTTTCCTAAGTTTTCATTAATTAGTAAGACGCATTTGTGCAGTAAATTTCTGTCAACACATATGTTACAATAACTTTCCCAGTTTATCATCTTTTTTTTCAACTTGAGGAAAAATTAACCAACTGTTACACGTTTTCTGGCTTTGCTGTAATGACAGCAAACTCTCAGTCTTCAGGATTCTGCAGTGTTTCTTTGTTCCTTCAGATATTTTTATGGTTTCATTGGTTGCATTTACATTTTAATCCACCTGGAATGTATTTATGTTCTAGGCCAGTTTCTGGCCCTTTTCCCAGAAAACAACTATCAGGTGTTGCCTGGCAACCTACACTAGGGTTGGAGTTCGGCTTCTTTTCGGGAGAAAAATAGCCACACTCCCTTCCGAGGTGACGGCAACCTTAAAGCGTTGCCTAGCAACGCCGCTTCGGAAGATGTGATTGGGCCCTTCACACGACCCTCCCCCAGAGTCAGAAAGAATTTAAGTAGAAATCTAACCGTTAGAGAACTAGGGCAGCGTACGCGTTGCATAGCAACCAGATTTCCTGACCCTCTCATTGAGACAAGAGTCGGAGGCAGCGCCCCGCTCAAAGATGGCGACCGACCCTGCCGCTTTCAATATGTTTAGTTATCGTCAGTCCTGCCAATAATTCAGTCTTCCGCATCAGGCCCCCGAAGGGGGTTCGCTACGCCCCTTCTGTGTTGCAGGCGGCGCGTGGAAGTGAGCGCAGAGAGAACCAGCCGGCCCCCGGATGCCCCGCACAAATATGGCGGCACGCGCGGCTCGGCGGCGCGTAGTGTGGCGCGGGTGCGCGCGCAGCGCAGGCGCCCTTCCGCTGCTCCCGCGGTGGCTCGCGCGGCGGTGGCAGCTGCTACGCGGGGCATGGTCCCCGGGTCGGAGGGCCCGGCCCGCGCCGGGGGTCTCGTGGCTGACGTGGTGTTTGTGATCGAGGGCACGGCCAACCTGGGGCCCTACTTCGAGGGGCTCCGCAAGCACTACCTGCTCCCGGCCATCGAGTGAGTGCCGTTTCCGCGACTCCAACACCGCCCTCCGACGCTAGGTTTCCCCTTCCTCTTTCTGACCCCAACCTTTCACTTCCGACCCTCACAGGTATTTTAATGGTGGTCCTCCGGCCGAGACAGACTTCGGGGGAGACGTGAGTCTTGGGACTGTTGAGGGAGGAGAGGCCCGGGGGCCCGGACTCCTGGGTCTGACCGAGCAGGGGCTGGCGGTCTGGAGTCCCGGGCCTCAGAGAGGAGGCGCTGGGATCTCAGGTGAACAGTTCCTGTTTTCCTCTCCCAGTATGGGGGGACCCAGTACAGCCTCGTGGTGTTCAACACGGTGGACTGCGCTCCTGAGTCCTACGTACAATGTCACGCCCCCACCAGCAGCGCCTATGAGTTTGTCACCTGGCTCGATGGCATTAAGTGAGCTTTTTCCTGTGCTTGCGGGTGGGGGGTTTGGGGGACCGTGAACGGATGGTGACATTGTTTGAACGACAAGAACCATTCCCTCATAACGGGTGACCGAAAAGACTGAAGGGGATGTGTTTGTGCCCCTAAGTCCGTGCTTTGGTGGGTTCTGTGTGCGCAGTGATTTTGCCATCCTGTTTGGAAGGAGAAAAAGCTTCCCAGTCAGACAGCTGAGCTCCAGCACCCACCCGGTACCCCACGTTTGATTCTCTCTTTTCTGTCCTCTGTTTCCCATCTCTACTCCAGCCGTCCTTTTTCAGAAGCCTGAAGCCTGAGTGCGAGGGAGACGGGGCTAGCCCAAGAAAGATCCCTCTGTGCTTTGAATCGAATTTTGAACTTTCACACTGCAGGTTCTTGCACGGGCAGGCAGCCGGGGTCTAATCATAACTAACCCACAGCAGAGTCCCCAGACTGAGGAGTCCCTGCCCCCTCTTAATATAACTTATCTCTGAAAGGGGGGTGGTAATAGTATTTGCCTTAGTTTTTTGCTGCACTGCTTATCCACGTTTGTGTAACAGAATACCCCAAAACTGAGCGGCTTGAAACAACAAACTTTTACTATCTCGTGGGGTTTTTGTACACAAGGAATTTAGGAGTGGCCTCGCTGCCCGGTTCTGGCGCAGGGCCTCTCATGAGATTGCAGCCAGGGCTACAGTTATCCAGAGGTTTCACGGGGACTGGAGGATCCGTTTCCAGGGTGGCTCACCTATGGCTGCTACCCACAGGCCTCCCTGTGGGGCTGCAGAGTATCCTCTCGACATGGCAGCTGGCTTTCCCCAGACCGAGCAATACAACAGAACGGGCACAGAGGAAGCCACAGGCTTTTTATGACCAAGTCTTGGAAGCCACATGCCATCACTTCTGCCACATTCTCTTTGGTAGACAAGTCGGCTCCGTTCAGTGCTTGAGGGGCATGAATATCAGAAGGTGGGGTTCCTTGGGGGCCTGGCTACCATGACTTCATAGGCATACTTGGGGAGTTAAATGAGTTGATGACTAAAACAGTACCTGGTGTGTATTAAGAGCTGTGTGTTTGCTAATTTTGGGGGTCTTGGTCTCGGTTTGCAAATGGATAACTGTAGTTAGTGCTCTTAGGAGAATAACAGGAACTAATCATCTTGTGCTTAGTTCAGGGTCTGGACTGTGGTCAGAGTTCATTCAGTGGCCCTGGTTTGTGGCTGCTGTTACCTTCATACATTTGTGTAGTAAATGTTTGTTGAGTGCCTACCTTGTTCCAGGCTTTGTGTGCTTGGCTGGGTGCTGCACATTCACTGGGAAGTTGACATTTCAGTTTCCCCATCAGACATTACATTTGGTAGTCAGGACAGAGTAGGATTTCTCAATCTCAGTACTGCTGATACTTTGGGTCAAACAATTCTTTGTTGTGGGAGACTGTCCCGTGCAGCGGGATTGTTCAGGAGCACCCTTGGCCTCTAGGTACTAGATGCCAGTAGCCACTTCCCAAGCTGTGACAAACAAAAATGTCTCCAGACATTGTCACATGCCTTGGGGTTGGGGGAGTCCACCCCAGCTGAGAACCACTGGGGTAGTGGTTGTACTTGAACAGTATTAAGTGGGAGCTTCTTGAGTCCAGGGCTGCTGTCCCTGAAGTCCGTAGCATCCAGCAGAGGGCCTATCAGAAAGGAGGCCTAAGGAAAACTTTGTTGAATGTGTGAGTGAATGAATGCCCAGGTGGCACTTCATACTCTGCGTCTGTGCCATCCGCCCGCTCCCAGCCCTGGTGAACTCCTGTATAAACTTCAAGACCCAACTCTAATATCCCTTCCCTCCATGCTGGCAAGCAGCTAGTTGATTCCTCCTCTGTCCTCATTACTCCCAGGTGTTCCCCTGTCACAGCCCTACACCTCTAGACTGTGAATGTCCAGGTCCCTGGGTTTTTTCCTGCTGTTTGCTTCTAGCTAGGATTTGGCACCCAAGAGGCTTTAGGAGATCTTGGCTGAGTAAATGAACAAGTGAAAGCTATAGGGAAGATAATTACCAAGAAACCAAACCTTCTGGTGGGTGTTTAAGTGTCAGGAAAATCAGTCAAACCCCCTTCTATTTAAGAATTTTGACGGTACCAGGGAGGTAAAGGTTTCTGAACATCTCGACCATCTCCTCCCTTCCCACTTAATCAACTTAGAATACGCTGTATCTTTTAACTAAATAAAAAAAGCTTTGTATGCAGTGCGCTCATTGCCAAATCCTCCCAACCAGCTGATAAATATTTCAAGCCATTGTTTAACTTTCACAATAGACGTTCTTTTAACAAGTCCTGTGTAACCATCTAAGTGCAATTTCTGTGACATCCAGCCGGGTCTGTAACGGATCACAGAAAAAGTCAGCAAGTTCTGTTCACACTTTGGGAAATCTTGTCTTCTCCTGGAATGTCTGTAACCGAAGGAACAAAGCATGCGGTGTGACCTTTGAAACGCCCTTGCTGTGAGAAGATTAATTTCTGATGTCCCATTTCCTTTCTTAACAAGGGGGGCACAGAATCAGAGCAGAGATGGAAGGAAAGTAGCCCCCAGTGCCCTCCGAAGCCACAGCACTGTGACAGTGAGTCCATTCATCCATTCGGCAAATGTTTGTGAAGCCAACGAGGCATTGAGGCATCAGGACACGAGACAGGCAGGGTCCCGGCCCCCTTAGAGCTGGTGTTCTTGTGGGGTGACAGACTGGGGGCGGGGCCTGGCATGCAGGGAGCCCTGGGTCAGGGCTTGGCTGCCCTTCACATTCTTGCATTTTGCTTGGTACCTCCTGGGGCCTCCTGGGACCTAGGAGGCAGGGACAGTTGGAGATGAGGAGCAGGACTGTGACACTGAGTGGCACGGGTGCAGTGAGCGAGAGCACCAGGAAGCTGTACGAGAGCCAGCTTGTCACTCGGCGCTGTCCACTTACTTTTATTTTACTTTATTTTTGTGAAAGGTTTACGAGATTTATTTGGAATTAGGGCTTAATCATAACCTTAATGATACTTTTTGCCCCTGGCTGTATTTTATTTCTGCTCTTCATTTTCGAGTTTTTGCTTTGCTTGGACAAGATATTCGTTACGTGTCTGTCAGAGCTGGTAAGAGACAGCTCACACTCAGTGTTCACTAAGGAGAAGGCAGGTTTTAAGATCTCAGCGGGGCCTCAATCACGTGTTCCCCCAGAAACTGCTTTTTGTAATTGAGGTGAAATTCACATAACAAAAAAGTAGTGATTTAAAGTGAACAGTTCAGTGGCATTTGGTCCATGCCCGGTGGGTGCAGCCACCCGCTGGGCCAAGCTTCACAGCATTATCATCACCCTGAGCAGAGACCCCACACTCGGGAAGCAGCCCCCCAGCCAGGGCAGAGTCTTGGGAAGGCCCTGGAAATCGTGGTTGGAGCTCTTCAGAGCAGGAAGGCAGCGGCAGGGCGCCAGGGCGGACACACGGGCAGTTCATTCGTGGGGTCTCCCGCGACTCCATGGCCTTGAAATTCCTGTGCGAACCAGAGTCTCTGATGGGGAGGAGGAGGAGGAGAGGCGAGGAGCGGGTGCTGGAGGGGAGGAGCCGCGAGCGGTGTGGCCGAGGGCCCTGCGAGGGAAGGGGGGCCCCGGGGTCAGGGAGCACATGGCCCGTGGGAGCAGAAGGTGGAGGAAGCCTGCGCTGGAAAGAAATCAGAGTGAGCTTGGGTAGGAGTGGAGGGGCCGGGCTGCCGGGAGCCCGGGGCACATCCTGGACATGGCCCAGACGGCCCGCCCTTCCTCACTGAGGGCTGTACTGGCGCTGGCGGGGATGCACGTGGTGTGCAGTGATGTGACAGACTTGTGATGTGACTGAGGCGGGCCCTCAGATCGCTGGCACATAGGCAGGCTTCCGGAAGAGGAGATGCTGGGCTGGGTGTTCATAGGGTTGATAAGTAGGGTCTCCCTGGATCAGAAAATGGGGGTGTGTGGGCACAGGCAGAGACTGGGTCATGTGGCAGATGATGGAGACCGGGCCATGGGAGACGTCCTGGAGGACTGTACCCAGAGGGATGGAGCCCCGGGCATGGAGGGCCCCAAATGCCTGGCTGAGAGCTTGGCTTTATTTTGGCCTTGATGGACATGGTCAGACTTACAGCCATTCGTTTATTTAACACACATTTCCCAAGGCCTCCCTTGTGCCAGATGGGGGGAGGGGTGACATCCCTGCCCTAACGGGGACACAGGCGCAGACAGACACAGCGGCCACAGTTTGAGGGGACTGGCGCTCAGGGCCCCCAGAGAGGGGCCCATATGTCCTCTGTGGCAGAGTCAGCCTCACGGTCATGTGCCAGGAAGAAGCGTGGGAGCAACAGTTGGGCTTAAGGAGAGGCCACACCCCACAGAGGTCGGGCGCTGGGGACCCATCTGTAGGTCGCACATCGGCTGGGAGGGAAGTCAGGGTTCTGTGTACATCAGTTTCCAGGGGCTGCGGTAACAGAGTAGCCACGCTGGTGGCTCAGAACAACAGAACCGTAGTACCTCACTCCGGGGCCAGGAGCCTGAGGCCTGGGTGGGCCAGGCCTGAGCCTGCAGGGGGGACCCGCCCGTGCCTTTTCCAGCTTCTGGCCGCCCTAGGTGACCCCTGGCTGTGGCAGCGCCACTCCAGTGTCCACGCGGCATTCTCCCTGGGTCTGCATCGTCTTCCCTTGTGCGCACGTGTCTCTGTGTCCCAGTCGCCTCATTTGATAAGGGCACTGGTCATGCTGCGTGGGGGTCCACCTTGATGACCTCCCTATGGCCAGATGGCCTGTGTAAAGACTCTCTTTACAAATCAGAGCACGTTCTGAGATTCTGGGAGTTAGGACTTCAGCATATCTTTTTGGAGGACACAGTTCAACCCTAACACCGTGGGAAGACAGGCAGCCCTCTAGCCAGTCCAGGAGGGTGGAAAGAGGCCAAGGCTGGCTTTAAAGATGGAACAGATGCCCAGGCAGGGGAGGTGCTCAGACGTCAGAACAAGGCCTGGGCTGCCTGTGTGTCCTGGACCCGTCCTCTGGCCACGGCACTGGGCCAGAACCGGGGATAGAGCAGGGAGTTCGCCAGTGTTCCCACGCCCCCTGTCCAGTGTGCCTGGGGGCCCCTAGCCCTGACCACCTGGCCCCTGCAGGTTCATGGGTGGCGGTGGCGAGAGCTGCAGCCTCATTGCCGAAGGCCTCAGCACAGCCCTGCAGCTCTTTGATGACTTCAAGAAGATGCGGGAGCAGATGTGAGTGCGCCTCTGCCTGGGGCCCTGGCAGTCTCTTTCCACCTGGCTTGGGATTCTGCCCCTGCCTCACCCCGGGGAACCCGCCGGGCCGTGTGCTGAGGGCTCAGGGCCAGCAGACAGGAGGTGCCCCCTGACCAGTGCCTCGTCTCTGTCCTCAGTGGGCAGGGGCGTCCGCTCTGGGTCTGTCTTCCGCTGCCTCCTGCTGGGTGGCTCAGCGTGAGCCAGGAACCTTCCTGAGCCTCAGCGCTCCTGGCTGTAAAGTGGGGCCATTGCCGCCGACTCCCTGTGGGCTGGGGTCCCGGCGCCTGCTTGGGTGCTGAGTGTGGGACCTTCTTGGGGGCCCCATCGCCACTTGCTTCGCGTCCCCTTGTCCCTAGCAGTGGCCAGACGCACCGAGTCTGCCTCCTTATCTGTAACTCGCCCCCGTACCTGCTGCCCGCTGTCGAGAGCACCACATACTCCGGCTGCACGACCGAGAGCCTTGTGCAGAAGATCGGGGAGGTGAGGGCCTTTGCCTCTGAGGGCCGGGCTGCGGCTGGCCTCGGGCTGCGGCTGGCCTCGGGCTGAGGGAGGAGGGGGCTGGAGCACAGGTTCGGGTCGCAGGATAGTCACTCTGCGGCCAGGTTGCGTGCCCCTGTTGGAAGAGCTGTGACCCAGATTTCTCTGGGGCAGCCAGTACAGATCTCCTGGTCCCCCGTCCTAAAGCCCGATGGGAACTTAGGGCCCAGGTGTCCAGCCACCCAGCAGGTGTGGCGGCCTGGGGTCGGCCTCTGCAGCCCATCCTCATTGCCTGTCCTCCTGTAGCGTGGCATCCACTTCTCCATTGTGTCCCCCCGGAAACTGCCTGCCCTCAGGCTTCTGTTCGAGAAGGCGGCTCCCCCGGCTCTGCTGGAGCCGCTGCAGCCGCCGACAGACGTTAGCCAGGACCCCCGGCACATGGTGCTGGTGCGGGGGCTTGTGCTGCCGGGTGAGGCCTGGGTGCTGGTGGGGGGCAGGGGGCCCTCCCCGGCTCCCTCTGACTTGGGTTTTTCTCCCCTCTCTCCAACCCCTTCTCTCGGTGCCATCGTCCATTGGTGGCTCTCAGTTGGGGGTGGCTCAGCCCCAGGCACCCTCCAGCCAAAGCAGCCCGTACCCCTGCCTCCAGCTCCACCCTCGGGTGCCACACTCTCTGCAGCCCCCCAGCAGCCTCTGCCCCCTGTCCCCCAGCAGTACCAGGTAGGGATGTCACCGGGAGGGGGACACGCTTCTGGAGCCTCGTGGGAGCCCTGTCCCCTTGGGAAAGACCTAGGTGGATGCTGGGCTTGTGGGATGAGGGGAAATGGGGGTGTTGGACTCTTGGGGTCCGAGAATCACATCTCTGTGGGGCGATGGAACTCATGAGCCCCTGCAGTGTGGGAGCTGGGATGGCATGGCCCCACGGGACACCAGGACGGGCACGCGGCCCCCACCAGCCCCTGCCCTGTAACCCCAGGTTCCTGGGTTGAGTGCAGCCCAGGTGGCCGCCCAGAATGCTGTGGAGGCTGCCAAGAACCAGAAGGCCGGGCTGGGCCCGCGCTGTGAGTCCTGGGGCAAGGATGGGGGTGGGCGGGGCCGGCCAGCCCCCTCTGCACATGTCCCCATTTCCTGCCTTGGTCTCTCCCCCAGTCTCGCCCATCAACCCTCTCCAGCAAGCTGCTCCAGGAGTGGGTCCCCCCTTCAGCCAGGCACCAGCACCCCCACTGCCTCCAGGGCCCCCTGGCGCTCCCAAGCCACCCCCTGCTTCCCAGCCCAGCCTGGTCTCCACGGTGGCCTCTGGCCCGGGCCTGGCACCCCCTGCGCAGCCCGGCGCACCATCCATGGTAGGTGCCTGCAGGCCTCCTACCGCCACGCTGCCCCGCCTGCAGCCGTTGACAGCACAGAAGAGCAGCAGTTCGCCTTCCCCGGGTCCTCTGGTCCTGGGTCCTCGGACTCGTGGGGCTTGTGCTGTGGATGCTGCCGACTAGCGGGTCTGGGGATGGAATCGTGGGGTTTTGGTTCCTGGTGGGTGAAGACTACTCTGAGGTGCCTGAGAGACCCAGGGAGCCAGGGCACCCTGGGGCTCTAGAGTCCTCAGATCTCACAGGCCATTTGTGGCCCAAGGGCTGGCTGAGTGGTCCTCTGGGTGTGTGATGCTGGGGACTGGGTAGCCATCGTTCTTGCCGCTGGTCCGTCTCTGTCAGGACAGCCCCTCCTGGGAGGTGACCTGACCCTGCCCACTGCCCTGTCCTTGCCCCTTGCAGGCGGGCACGGTGGCCCCAGGCGGCGTGAGTGGCCCTTCCACAGCCCAGCTAGGGGCCCCGGCCCTCGGTGGGCAGCAGTCTGTCTCCAACAAACTCCTGGCCTGGAGCGGGGTCCTCGAGTGGCAGGAGGTGAGCAGGCTTGTGGAGCCTTGGGCTTGTGGGTCTTGTAGCCGGTGGCACGCAGGGCCGGGCCTGGTCCCCCTGGGGCCATGGGACCTGTGGTCCTGAGGATGGTCTTGAGGAAGTGTGGGATTTGTGGCCCCAAGTTCAGGACCAGGGCGGTGGTACGAATTGTGTTGCAGGTGAAGAACTGAGAGAAAGCTCAGATTCAGGGTCTGGACAGAGGTCCAGGGGGTTGTGGCATGTTGGGGACAGGGGGGTATGGGTTTTTGCGGCAAGGGGGGGATCTCCGGTGTTCATGGAGTTTGAAGATGAGAGGATTGAGGGATTGATGGCCTGGAGGAGGGCCCACAGCTTGTGGGGCTTAAAATGGGGAAGAGCTTGAACTGGGGGGCTCCCAGGGGATGGGTTGAGGGCACTGGGGCTCAGGGCCCTTCCCGCTGTGACACACCCTTCTCTTCCCTTCAGAAGCCCAAACCCGCCTCCGTGGATGCCAACACCAAGCTGACGCGGTCGCTGCCCTGCCAGGTCTACGTGAATCACGGCGAAAACCTGTAGGTGAAGGGCGGGCCGGGTGGGCGAGGCGCGGTGGGCGTGGCCCTGACACCTCCTGGCACCGCCCCCAGGAAGACGGAGCAGTGGCCCCAGAAGCTGATCATGCAGCTCATCCCGCAGCAGCTGCTGGTGAGCACTGGCGGGAGGACCCCGTTTCCCTTCCCTCGCCCCTGCCGCCCCCTCCGCCCTTCCTGTCCTCCCTGACCTCTGTGCCTCCTCCAGACCACTCTGGGCCCTTTGTTCCGGAACTCAAGGATGGTCCAGTTCCATTTCACCAACAAGGACCTGGAGTCCCTCAAGGGCCTCTACCGCATCATGGGCAACGGCTTCGTGAGTCCCGGGCCGGGCAGGGCTTCCGGCGGCGGGAGGGCTGGCGTGCCCTCCTCCAGGCCGTGACCGCCTCCGCCGCCCTCCCGCAGGCGGGCTGCGTGCACTTCCCCCACACGGCGCCCTGCGAGGTGCGCGTGCTCATGCTCCTCTACTCGTCCAAGAAGAAGATCTTCATGGGCCTCATCCCCTACGACCAGAGCGGCTTCGTCAATGGCATCCGGCAGGTCATCACCAACCACAAGCAAGTCCAGCAGCAGAAGCTGGAGCAGCAGCGCGGGGTGAGAGACACAGCCCCCTGCTCCCCAGCCCCACCCCTGCCCACCTGGGTCCCTGAGCTCCCAGCCAGACCCCAGAGCGTCCCTCCTGGGCTGCCACACCCACACTTGGTCCTGAGACGTGACCCCTGCGTACCGTCCTGTGGCTCCGCCTCACTGTGGCCTTCCCAGCATCCTCACTGACTCTATGGACACCGTTCGTCCCCACGAGGGAGGTTTACTTCCCAGGCGCCCCACCCCACCAACAAGAAGATGTTCCCGGCTCCTTCCTTATGGGTCGCCTTCAAGACTCAGACCCTCTTGGACACAGGACCCTCACCCCACTGTCACTGACCTCCCCCTCCTCACACAGATGGGGACACAGCAGGCGCCTCCTGGGCTGGGCCCCATTCTGGAGGACCAGGCAAGACCCTCGCAGAATCTGGTGAGGAGAGGGCTTGTGGGGTCAGGGCCAGAGCAGGGGAGGCCCCAGAGAATGCTGTCCAGACAGGGCCACAGCGGCCAAGGGGCCGGGATTCTACCTTGGCCCTCACCCCCATCTCTCCCGCCAGCTCCAGCTCCGCCCGCCACAGCCACAGCCGCAGGGCACTGTGGGGGCCTCTGCGGCCACGGGGCAGCCCCAGCCCCAAGGTGCTGCCCAGGCCCCTCCAGGGGCTCCCCAAGGCCCTCCTGGAGTGGCCCCCGGCCCCCCACCTCCTGGACCCATCCTTCGGCCCCAGAACCCTGGGGCCAACCCTCAACTGCGGAGCCTCCTCCTCAACCCACCACCGGTGAGATTTGTGGGTGTGGGTGAACAGGAGTCCAGGTTCCCAGCCCTCATGGCTCCAGCCCTGTTGTCTGGTGGGAGGGAGGTTCTCTTTGATCAGTGGTTGTGAATAGAGCCCTACAGAGGGCTTCAGGCAGACTGTTCCTCTCTGTTTGGGGTCTTTTGCTAAGATTCCTTTGAAGAGGGAGACCCTCCTCCCAGCTAACTGCTGGATAAGGTATTCTCTGAAGCAGCTAGACGCTACATAGTGGGCTGGGGGCTCTCTACTGGGGGCTTTTCTGAGCTGCTTGCTTTGTTCTCCAAGCCCCAGACTGGGGTGCCCCCACCCCAGGCCTCCCTCCACCACCTCCAGCCACCAGGGGCTCCTGCACTGCTGCCCCCACCGCACCAGGGCCTGGGGCAGCCCCCGCTGGGGCCCCCCCTCCTGCACCCACCGCCTGCCCAGTCCTGGCCCGCGCAGCTTCCCCCGAGGGCTCCACTGCCAGGTAAGGGGGTCTTGGGAGGGCAAGGGTCTGAACTGAGTGACCCAGCAGCCTCTGGGCTAGAACCCCAAGACCAAGGGTTCCTGGGAAGTGAAGCCCTGAATTCAAGAACAGCGGCTGGTTCCCTAATGGCTTTCAGGGGGCTGTGAGGGCTCCTGAAAAATACTGCTCAGGGGACCAAGACCTAGTAGGGCAACAGCTTCTTCCCATGATTCCCCTCCTGCGTGTCCTCCTGGGGTTACTGGGAAATGTAGTCTTAGGGCCAGAAAAGTAATCTGGGGGTTGGGCACCTAAGACTCATGGGAAACAAAGTATTTGTGACCTGATGGGGCCAGAGGTCCCTCTGAAGGGTCCCTCCAGGGCTTCTTAGAAAACTCAGTGCCTGTGGCTCCCAGAGGAGAAAGGAAGAAGCAGGCCCAGGGCCCTCCCGGGCCCCAGGGACTACTGGGAGATGCAGTCCCTTCCCCACTGCCCCCCAGGTCAGATGCTGCTGAGCGGGGGTCCCCGGGGCCCGGTCCCCCAGCCGGGCCTGCAGCCCAGCGTCATGGAGGACGACATCCTCATGGACCTCATCTGAATCCCCGACACCCAATAAAGTTCCTTTTAACACACGCCCCGACTCCCGTCACTGACATCCCCCAGGACTGGGCAGGCGGAGACCTGGGGGGACATCTCTGCCCTTGTTCTGGCTTCAGCAGACGTCCCTGAGGCCCCGGGTTGGTGACGCCAGGGCCTCAGCGGTGAGCCAGGCAGTCTGGTGTAGCCTGGCTCGGGGATATGTGAGGCAGGTGGGCAGGCAGAACTCACGGGGCCACTTACTGTCACAGAGGTAGAGAGGGTACCCAGTGGGCCTGGAAGTGGCCTCTGAGCCAGCTGGGCTTAGCAGGGCCTTGAAAGAGAAGCAGGAGGCAGTGAGGCAGGGAGGAAGGACTCAAATGGTCATCACGGTGTGGAGACCGCAGACATGAATTTGTGAAGCAAGAGGAAGCAGGGTTGTTCAGTGACAAGATGGATGCTCCTGGGGCTTGAGCGTGAGGGAGGGTGGGCCTAGGAAGGGGGTGGGTACCGGGTCTGGAGGAGCTCAGGTTCCAAACTGAACAGCTTGAGGTTGCCCTGGGGAGAGCCCCAGGGGGCCCAGAGCAGGGGTCGGGCCTGGGTTAGCCAGGTGTTAGAAAGACCCTTCTGGGCTGTGGAGTGTGATGGGGCAGGGCAGGCCCGGAAGGCAAGGAGCAGGCTAGGGTGATGGTCCTGGGGAGGGGAGGCACCAGAGGAAGGGCTGGGGATGCGGCAGTGGGGCCAAGGTCGGCCCCCAGCGCCTGCCTGAGTGCTAGTAGGTGGGGGAGCCTCCCTAAGTCAGGCAGCTGGGAGGAATTAGCAGTGAGTGGCAACTGTCCCAGGCACGTCTGAGTGACAGATGCCATGTTGGGAGCTCAGCACATGTCCTTAAGGGACAGTGTGTGTTTAGTGGTTGAAGCCACAGGAGTGGATGAGATGACATGTAGGTTCCAGGTCCCAGACAGAGTGACCTTCCAAGACTCTGGACGGGGTGGAGAGTGGAGCTTTTCCTGAGATGGGAATCCTTGTAGGGAACAGGTTTGGTGTGTGGTGAGGCAAGGGACCTAAGGGACACCCTTGGGGAGATGTCCAGGGCACAGCTGGGAACAGACATGAGTACAGTGCAAGGGCCATCCGGCTCGGGGCAGAGAGTGAGTTGTCTGTTGGCAGCCTCTAGACCAGTGTTGGCTCAGCGCGTGGTCCGTGCCTGGACCACCAGCATACGCACTGGTCGGGGTGCTGGCTGAAATCAGATTCCCGGGCCCCATCCCAGCAGAGAGAGGTTGCAATCTGGTGGCCTGTGGGCCACTCTACAGTTGAGTTTTGTTTGGCCTTCCCTGTGTTAGCATATGCGGCATGTTTTTTTTAACAAGTTAGTTGTAAAAATCCAGGTAATTCTCTCTCTCTCTCACACACACACATACACACACACACACACACATGCACACACAGAAAATGTGCAGTCTTGGCTTCTCTTGACAAGTCCGAGATCTGGCACCCCTGGGCCCACCCTTCCACCTAGGAACGCGGGTTGGAGGGCTGCCCCTTTCCATGGGGCTTGTGCTCTCTGGTTTGCCACAGTCCCTACCACTCCCTCGTGCTCCCCCTCCATGAGGCAGAGGGTCGTTGCCTTTGCACTGTGGTGGTTCCTGTGGTAGCATTCAGAGGAATGTGAAATCTTTCTTGTACCTATGTCTCTATCAAAAGCGGCAAAACGAAAGAGAGAACAAGAGGGCTGCGTGTTTCGAGAAAAATGGGAGCGAGCCTATTTCTTTGTGGAAGTGAAGAACATGCCTATGTGTTTAATATGCAAAAAAATCGTATCTGTGTTGAAAGAATACAACCTGAAACGTCATTATAAATCAAAGCACGGTAAGAGCTTCGACCAGTACACAGAACAGACGCGAGATGCGATACTTGATGAACTGAAAAAGGGCCTCAAGTGTCAGTAGGCCTCGCGTGGGAAAGGAGATGACAGGAGTGGTATGTCTGTGACATGCAGTTCTGGAGTAAAGGGAGAGGAATTCACCAGGCATTAAAATCTGCTACAGACAACACGTTTATAAAGGAGCAGAATGACATGTCCTGAGCAGAAACACACATCTGTTTAGACCCTTGCTGAAGTCTAACAGATATTTGCATATTACACAGTGAGTTGAAGATACGTGAGAAGATTTACAAATCCAGTTGCTTGAAAGAGTCAAGTTGATTGTGGCCTTTTCTGTCACTGCTCATGAACGATTACCACCCAGTTAGCTTTATTTATTTGTGGTGAGAATTTCGATGTGACTGAAGAAGTCTGTGACACGGGTCCCAGGTAGGCCCAACACTGGGAAATGACTTCCGGTCAGAATTCCTCACCACAGCTACGGTTGTGGCGATGTCATGATCTGAGCGCAGGGGAACTCGTCAGGAAGCCTTGACCCAAGGTGGTGACATCTGGCAAGGACACAGAAGTTAGGTCATTGCATCAATCACCAGGAGCTGAACTGTTAAGTAGATGAAAATGAAACACACCACGGATGTCCTTGACATGCTCCTGTACTTTAACCACGGGCTGGTCGATGGTGAACTTGACCCGATGTGTTTTACAGAAGCTCTGTGACCTGCTGTTACATGATGCCATGGAAGAAATCAGCTGCTGAAACTGGTTCATTCCGTTGAGGTGGAAGTCACAGCCTGGCTCCCCTGAGAAGGTCGGTCAAAGCCTTTTGGTCGAGCTTACGACCCTTCTGAACACTATTTCTCTGCAAGGAGGTTCACAAACAGCTACTTGAATGTATCATCGTGTGTGCCCAGTCCTGCCAAGATGGGGATGCCATGGGCAAGGAATATTCTGACTCCATTTCCTTTGCTGCAATTGGTTTCCAGAAACAAAAGACATGGCCAGGACTAGATTCACCCAAATTGTAGGGTTGCAGACCAAATTACCCCAAAGGCTCTCTGCCTCCAGACTTTAATGGAAGTGAAGTAAGTAACCCTGTGCGGTTTGCTGTGGCTGGTCAGTGCAGATCGCCAACAGTAGTTACTGAAGCGCTGTGCGACGGGGTGCTGGCTGCTAAGTGATCAGCCCTACAGCTTTCTCCAGCGGTTGTCCCAAATCTCTGTGCTTGGTAGTGCCCACGCTCGTCAGCAGCTGTTTTCCATTTACAACTGAGTCAAATGAAATAATGCTCCCAGTTTAAGGATTCAAGGTTGAATTCTAAATCGTTCGTCGCATTGTGACAGCCACAGCCTGACATCAGCATCTCCGTGCGGGAGGGATGAGGTCAGCCTTCCGGCCTCAAAGCAAAGGAGCAAAAGCATAATGAAAGAGAAAATTTTAATTATTAAATATTTCTATTTTTCAATTTGTATTTTTTCAATTTTGAATTTGAAATATAAACTCCAGTATCATACTTGTTTGTATTATGTTCCATGCGTTCACCATAGTTCAGTAAAGATAACAATTTGATTATATTTCTGGCCGTGGACTTTTCTCCTCCGAGGCTGGCTGGCTCCTCCTGTGGCCCGCCCGGCTCCCGGAGGCATCGGAGTCCAAGATCCCTGCCCCGGAACTGTTGAGGCCGTGGGAGGAAGGGAGGCTGGGAAGTGGCACCCTGGACAGGCCCCCTGGGTGCTTGTCATGCCACGGGGGGGACACAGGGGCAGATGGCGGCGGTGGCCGAGGAGGAGGCGGCGCGAGGCGTCCCAGGCAGCGCGTGTAGCAGGGGTGTTGGGAGACCTCGGGTGGCTTCAGGGCCCAGGCAGGTGACGGGAACGTGCAGAGCGCATGGCGTGAGACAACAGGGAATGATGGGGACTGTGGCCAACTTGGAGAGCGCTTGCCCCGCCTAAGGGCATTCAAATTAAAAACAAAAAACACTGTGAGGACCAAACAAACTCTGCTTGTGGGTCTTACGAGGCCGCCGGGCTGCCATTTTGCGACCTCTGGAAGAAGACGCCGCCAGGACAAGGCCAGAGCCCCGAGAGACCCGCGTAAGGGGTGGGCAGGGAGCCGGAAGACGGGCGCCCCAGGCAAGTGTGTTCCGGACGCCGAGCGGTCCTGGGGAGCGGGCGGGCGGCCGAGCGCCGCCGCGGGGGAGGCAGATGCTCGCCCGGCCGGTGGAGGCCGCCCTGCGGGGAACGGGTTCGGGTCCGGGGCGGACTGTTCGGGGAGGAAGTTCCCACCCGCCGCCTCTGCCCGTCCCCAGCCAGGGAGGCCCCTTGACCCCAGCACCCGGCCAGGTGCCCCGTCACGCTGGGTCCCAGGCCCGTGTTCACGAGGGGAGGCGGAAGGAAGGCTCGGTCGCCGGGACGCCCCCCGGGAGAGGAGAGGCCCGGGCGCAGGCCTCGCCGCCATGTCCCACGCCCCGGGGAGGCGGCCGGCGCCGACGGAGCAGATCTTTTTGGAAGGGTTTTTCTCTGAGTTCGAGGTGCTGTTAGAGGTACCCGACGAGTAGGGAAACTGATGAAAACCTTAGGCCAGCGGCCCCTGCAGTGATTAGCTTTGGGCAGGTCCCTGTGCCTGTCCGAGCCTCGGTTTCCCCGTAGGACAGATCGAGCCCCTGCCAGGCCCAGCCCAGGCCTCCACTTGGAGGAGCTGTCAGCCACTATTTTTGTCACCACGAGCTAAAAAAACACCCTTGGGAGGCAAGCGTGGTGGTCAATACCTGTAACAACGCACGCCCGCTTGTCTGATCAGGGTGTCCTTGAAGGTTGTCACTGGGTGAGTGACTGCTTGGAAACATTTCATTTTTGACCGGTTTGTTTTTAGATCGTGTAATTAGAACTGGAAGCAAGACTGGGGAATCCATGAGAACTCCCCCAAAGGAGCAGATCGGGCAAAAGAGGCAGAACATGATTGAAAAAAAATTTTTTTAAGGCAGAAATGCTGAGATACCGACCTATTAATAGTTGTGAACCTGTCTTGGGTGACAGAGAATGCCCACCTACTACCCCTAGAGAGAAAATCATGAGAAAAACACCACTTCTGAAAATGGTGTATGTATCTCAAGGTCATAAAACTCACATATGTTTTCCCACCATGCTTGGGTGTAAAAGGAATTAACTAAAATGTGTTGAATTACACCCAGGCTAACCATCTCATAAAGATGAAAAAGCACTGCAGTGTAGAGTAAGTGTAAGGTCCCTTCAGTCTCCCTTACCCCAAACACATACTGAGTGAACCTCCCACCCCGCAAGGCAGACATCGGTCTCATGTTTGGATTTACATGCATGTGGCCATAACATGTTTATAGTTTCTTAAAGGTTTTACCTAAGAGGGGTTAGTTTCTATGTTTTTTTTCCTTGTTTTTCACTTAAGTAATGGCTGTGTGTCCACATGATTCATTACAGGTGACTCTGTCCTGTTTTTAAGTGGTTGCCTTCAGTAGTCCATTAAATGGACACATTCCAAGCCCAGCAAACCACCCAGTCTGCATAAGCTGTTGATGTGCAACAAACCCCACCACTCTGGCTTAAAGAACAAGCATGCATGGTCTCCCAGTTGAATCCAGGCACAGCTTAGCTGGGCCTGCAGCTCAAGGTCTCACAGGATTGCAGTCAAGCTGTGGGCGGGGGCTGTGGTCTCTTCTGAGGGCGCAAGTGGGGAGGGCCCCCCTTTCAGGCTGATGTTGACTTACTGAGTTCGACTCCCCCCTGGTGATCAGACACAGAGCCTCCGTCCCTCGCTTGCTGTCGGCTGGAAGGCTCCCTAAGTGACTTGCCATTGTAGGCCTCTTCATAGGGCAGCTCACAGTGTGGCTGCCAGCTTCTCTAGACACGAGAGACAGGGTGCCCGAGGTGGATCCTGAGGTCTGTTTGAAACCCGGTTGTGGAAGTGATACCCTATCACTTCTGTCAAACTTCCTTCATCACAGCAAGCCACTAGGTTCAGCCCACGCCGGAGCTGAGGGGATAATGTAAGACTGTAGTACCCGGAGGAGGGGCTCCTGGGGACCATCTTTGAAGCTGCTTGCCACCCTATATGTGGGCAGTTGGCTAGCTGTGCTCTTTTTCACTATTCTCAGAAATGCTGCAGAAGATGAGCACATATATATTTTTATATATTTTTTTGCTCACTTGGGCAGGCATTCCTGTGGGGTACATTCCTAGCAGCCAGACTTCAACACTGGAGAGTGTGCCTATTTTATTTGTATTTATTTAACTTTTTTAATTAGATTTTTTCTTGCCTATTGGGAGCCTTCCTACGGTTCACCCTCTTAAGAGGTTCTGAAATCAACCCAGTGCACAGTCTCACCCTCAAAATCAATGACTGGTTTCTTAGGTCTCCGTTCAGAGAGATCTGTTCAAGCAGGTAGACACCAACCAGTGCACTTTGTGGCTTTTCTATCCTGTGGCAGCTTACTTTATATTTTTAAATCAGCTTCATGGAGATGTAATTGGTCTAAAAAAACTGTACGTACTTAATGTATTCAAATTTGACCAGTTTGAACATACACATGCACCCGTAAGAGCACCACCCCACTGTAGGAGAAACCTGACAACTCCAGAAGGTTCCCCGGGTCCCTCTGGTTTTTGTTCATGTGATCAGAACACTCAACATGGAATCGACCCTCTTCGGCTTAACTGCGTGGTACAGGACTGCACAGCGGGTCTCCAGAATTTACCCAGGCTCCTTTATTCTGTAGGTTGCCTTCTTCATCCGACCACGGCCTATCTTGTAGTTTAAAAAGTCCCTCTGCATTTTTTCATGGCTGTGTGCGTTGCCACCACTTTTTAAATCCCCTGTTTTTGGCCAAGTAGGATGTTTCTGAGCCTTTGGGGAGTCCATTTTAAACCGCAATATGACTGCCAAGTTGCCCTCTCTGGAAAACATCTGGCATGCGGACAGTTGTACCAGCTTGTTTCTCCCCAGCGCACGGACAGATCGCGCTGCGCGGGAAGAAGCCGGCAGGACAAGGTCATCTCAGCGTGAGAACGCGGGGGGCGGGCGGACGGGGCACTCGGGGAGCATGTGGAACGTGTGTGCTGGAGGGCAGGTGGTGGGTGGGGCAGCTGTGAGCAGCGCCGAGAGGAGGACAGGGGGGCCCCAGCCTGAGCTGACGGCTGTGGTGGGCCTCAGGCAGGGGACAGAAGGGCGAGGCGTTTACTCCTGCCCTCATTTTTTCCCGTCTGCTGAGATAAAGCAAGAGCCTGGGCTTGAGACTCCGCTCGGCCCCTTCTCGCCTGTGACCTCACGCTCTGGCCGCCGGATCCTTGGTTTCCCCATCTGTAGAATGTGGGTGATAAGGTTGTTAATCCCATGGCCTGGTGGAGGATTCAGAGTTCAACAGGGAAGCGTTTAGCATAGCATTCGGAAATATGATTGCTTTTCCACAAATATTGCTTTTTTAAGTAAGTGATACAGCCTGGCGCCAGCTCTAACAACCAGCCTGCCCCACGCCGGGTGTGTATGGCTGGGGATCCACCAGGTCATGCTAGGAACCCGGAGTAGAGTGCGGGAAGGGGAACCAACCTCTAGGGGGCGATCAAGGCACCGTGGAGTACCAGGAGGCAGTGGCGGGGTCCCCGCTGACGGAGGTCATAAATCTGCAGTTCATTTGTTTGAAAAATACTTATTGGGTGCCTTATAGGGGCTGTGGCTGTGGCAGTGAAACCCCACCCTCCTGGAGTTGGCAGGAAGTTGCCAGGTAGCCTCACAGCGCAGACCCGCTTCTCCCATGTCCTGCTGCCCGTAAGGCGAGGCTCCAGTGGGCCGGCCCTGAAGGACCCTCGTGAGAATCAGTAAGAACTCCCAGCTTCATGCCTATTAAACAGTACATGCTAGACTATTATGGGTCAGCCTTCGGTGGGCACCCCTGGAGGGACGGGCACGCGGGGGAGAAGGGACAGTGTACAGAGGACTGGAGGCTGCAGGGCACGTTGTGAGTCAATTGTTTCGATATGGTTAAAGAACCCTGTGTATGTGGTGAGGTCAGGCTGTGTTTTGTTAACAAATCCGTAAATCTCAGTGGTTTAACAAAGGATCATGGAGTCCTGCCCCTCCCCTCCCATGACAGTCCCATGTGGGCCAGGCTGGTCCGCCTGGTGATTCTCCAGCACTGACTTGGACTGTTTTTGTGCAGTAACCAACCCCTCCATTTTGGGTTCTTGGTCTCCAGTACTGGGAACAAGAAATAGCACAAGCGCGAGGGGCGTGCACACTGGCTCTTAGCTGCCTGGGCCAGAGGGGACAGTCATGATGTCATGACGTTCACGCTTATGCCCCCATCTGGTGGTAATGGTCCCAACCTACCACAGAGGAAGCTTAGACTGGTGGCTTCCTGGTGTGCCCAGGAAGGGGAATCAGGTGGTGAACACCTCACGCCACCTCTGTAGAGGTGTGGAGAGTGTTGCGGGGGGATGGATCTATGTTTAGCTCTGTGCTGGGTCCTTAGGACACGGTTATGACTAA